AACGGCTTGATTATCGGCGGTCAATCTTGCGGCGATACCATCAAATCACCTCTCTATCTTGCGGGATGGCCGAAATCGGCTCTTTATCTTGCGGCCGAATAAAAGTGCATCCGGACCGCCATACTCGCAGGTATGTTGCGCCCATTATAATCGCGTCGCGTCGCGTCTTATGACACTTACGTTGGACAGTTTCTGCCATAGAAGCTCTCGTGGACCGCATCGAGGCTTTGGCCCGATCGCTTCCCACCAGCGTGCCGAAGGCTACCAGAGATGATTATATCTATCATGTCATCCATCGTGTTGAAGGCGAAGATAAGAATGCCCCCAGTACCTTCAATCGTCGCATGGACTTACTCTTCGGAGAGACGTGCCGCGACTCCGATGGACGGCTCAAATACGTTCGCCGCGGTCCTAATGGCATGGCGCTTGTCGTCAAGTACTTCCGGGAGATCCAGTGGGGGGATTTACAACCTCCGATTGTGACCGTTAAGCTGGAACGAATCATCGCTGAGCTGGAGTTTCTTTCGTAAGTTGTTCTCTATATTTAATATTTTGATTCTGAAGACGCATAGTGCCGATACTCCGCCTGCTTCCCGCGGATCATCACCGGTGCCCCGAAAGAAACGCAAATCAGAGGAGGTGTTCTCCGATGTAGAAGAGGTATCTCCCCCAAAACGAATTAGGAGCAGTATGTTATCGAGTTTTATGTTATTGTACCTGACTAATTGGGACCTATAGCTTCGAAAGGATCCGTCACCGTGGAAGACGAGGATGAGGCCGATGGTTTCGCACCCGATAAAGGCGAGGATAAAGGTAAGTTCTCCTGTTGTTTTATTTGCCTTGAAACTCCAGCTTCTTCCCCAGACTCCAGCAGTGAATCCGATGCTGGTTCTGACGACGGCGGTGGGCCGTCAAAGAAGCCAGGTGTGTATTTTCTCCCTTCTCTGTTGTGAGGTGCTCAGTTTGTGCAGTACTCGGTCCGGGCGGTAAAGCGAATCGTGTTACGAAGCAGGGTATGTGTTAGATTGTACCCATTTCTAGTATCACTTCTCACTTGTGACACAGCCGATCGACGCCGCCGTAATAAACGCCAGGAATCAACTCCTACGTCCTCTGATCCCACCGCCGTTGATGAAGATGGTCTGGTTATCGACATCCAAGTACAGCCCATAGAGGCGGCTACGGTAGTTGTCAGTGCCACGGCCGACGTCCAGCACTTCAGCTGTAAGCCCTATCTCAAGAGGGGAAGGTCCGGCACCGACAAGCTTCATCGGAAGTGTAAGCTCTGTCCGTACGTCCGCACTGATTTAACCTCGAAGACGTGGTCCTGAAAAATAATAGATCAGAAACTGTTGCCGATCCATCTACGTTTCGACGCCACTTACAGAAATTTCATAAAGTACGCTATGTTTTCTGTCTTTAATACAAGCTTAACGTTTGTCTTCGGCAGCCGGACTATCACAAATGGGCCAAGAAGAACAATTTTGAGTCCAAACTGCCTGACGACGTCATGGCACGCGCGGAGGCAGCAGAGGCTGCCGCAGATGCCAAGGCAAAGCTGCAGCAGCAAACTCTCGACCCGCACCTCCGCAAAAAACCGGATCGACCCGCTCCTTACACGGACGACATCTTTAGAGAGGCTGCCGTTGAATGGTTAATTGACACCGATCAGGTAAGTCGCATTTGAATACGGGGTTCATTTAATATATCGCGTCACAGCCCATCGACGCCTTAACACATCCTAAATTCAAAGCCATGATCGACATCGCCGCTCGTGCGACTGAGGGCGTCAATTTGCCTAATCGAGCTCAGACAAGACAGCAAATTATCGAGACCTTCAAGGACCAAATGAATCGGCTCAAGATTCGTTTACACGTGCGTTGCAGCAATCCGTTTGGGTTCGGAAGTAACTCATGTCTCCGTCTTTTACAGAGTGACGCCGTTACGGGAAAGATACATATCACCTGCGATGCCTGGCAGGCGAGCAATACTGATGGCTATTATGCCGTTACAGGGCACTGGATGGAAGAGTCGTCCCCCGGTGTTTGGGTGTTGCAAGAAGCACTTCTTGGCTTCACGCGTCTTAACAATGCTCATCACGGTGTGCGTCTGGGCCAGGCATTGTACAAGGTAGTCAAGTGATTTGATATTGTGGACCGGGTTAGTTGCTTATGGCTATATATCGCGATCTCCATTGCTTATTACAGCTCACAGGTGGGTTACGTGACGTGCGATAATGCTCCCAACAATGGCACCATGCTCGAGGAGTTCGCCCGCCAGGTTCAGCGCGAGACCGGCGAGACGTGGGACCCCGTAGAGCGTCGCATAAAGTACGTTATCCCTCTCTCATGCAGCTAAAATTGATATGCTGTAGCTGCCTCGCGCACGTCATCAATATCGCAACTCAAAAGTTGATATCCACGTACAGCAAGGCCACTCATTTCAATACTCACGATCCGAACGCCCACATCCCCGAGACATCCCACTCTGTTACCGAACTCCGTGATGAGATTGGTCTCCTCCGCGCAATTGCTGTCAAAGTACGTCCATCTCTTGCATAGTGTTGGTTTCTTAATTATTTCATGATCAGGAGCGGTCTTCGGTCAAACGGAAGGAACTTTTTCGAGGAATACAAATCCGAGAAAGGGCCGATCCCGCCAACGCAGCCAAGCAAATGATTCTCGACATGAAGGTTCGCTGGTCCTCAACTTATTCAATGCTCGATCGTGGCTACGAGCTCAGAAAGGTACTAACATTTTAATTTATTCTGACGTGGTTGACCATTTCCACAGTCTGTGGATACCTTTATTTTCGAGATCGCGTTCGACGAAAAGACCATCAAAAGCGTGACAAATTGACGGCCCTACGACTGACCGAAGCTGAATGGGGGCGAATTGATTTATTCCTCAATGTGCTTCAGGTGTGTACTGCTCTTTCTTTCGATTGTTCATTGGACTGAATGGCTTCACAGAGCGCGCAGGATGCCCAACATGCGTTCTCTGCGGATCTTGGATCGACGCTGCACCTCGCGATCCCGGCGTTGGAAAAACTGCATGCGGAATGGACCGCAAAATCTAGCAACAACAAATATTCGGTATTCCACGCCGCGTTGGAGGAAGCACTGCTGAAGGTCGACGAATATTATCAGAAAACATCGAACTCGAACTCTTACATGTTCGCGATGGGTACGTTTGGTTTAATATACTCGCAATTTTTAAAACCGGCATCAGTTCTTGATCCCAGGAAGAAACTCGCTTATTTTCAAAAAAACTGGCCCAAGCGTCTTCAAACTCAAGCCAACAAAAACATGGAGGAAACGGTAGGGTCTCATTCACGTCATTTCTTCTAATCCACTGAAACTTGTCCCAGTTTAAAGAGCGATACCTCAAGATGCACGCAAATACTACCACCAAATCAACAACCACCGCCCAAAAAACCAAGTCCACCCAGCCCAGCCGCAGGCGAGCCGTAACTCCTCTAGACAGCGACGCCGACGCCGACACGTCTGATTTATCGGCGACCCATATCGATCCGTTGCGACCTTGGCTTGATGAATATCAAGGCTATCTTGCCGCACTTGAAGCTGTCCCGGAAGGAATGTCCACCATCGCGTGGTGGGGGGTGAGCACCAATAGCTTTTGTGTTTCTGTTCATCTTCATTTACAATCGTATTAACAGCGGAATCACCATCGCTATCCGGTATGGGGATCCCTTGCCCGCGATTACCTCGCTATCATGGCGTCTTCCGTGTCTTCCGAACGCGCCTTCTCTTCCGCCGGAATCACGATCAGCAAACGTCGTAATCGTTTGAAGGACGACATCGTCGAGGCATTGCAGGTTATGAAGTGTATGATTCGTCGTGATTTGCTGTTCCGTGTGCCGGAAGCCTTGGTGGACGACGAGGATGACCTGGAGGTCGAATCGGAGGCAGAAGATAGTGCGGAGAAAGATAGAAGCTGGGATATATTCGTGGACGATGACCCCGATAATTATGAGTTACCTGCCATTGTACCTATGGAATCTTGATGCTAATTTCACTCGGATTAATTAACCGCATTCAATTATAGAGCCACAATATAGACCTTAGCACCGTAAAACGGTCGAAATGCACTGTCAAGCCAGGGCCCAGGCCCAAGCCCGCGGGCCTGAAGCCCTGTCTGAAGGCTTGGGCTTGGGCTTGGGAGTTCTCAAGCCCAAGCCCGCTCAGGCCGGGCCCAAGCCCGGGCCTCCAGGCCAGGCCGGGCCCTGAACATCACTAGAAGGAGGGTACGTCTCGGGTTAATCACCGCTGTTGCTCCGAGGGAGGACACTAAGACCCAAGCCGAAGACACCTCTGAGCAACACGAGCGGCGCTGATGGTGACACCAATGCTCGTGGACGTTCGCTGCATTCGGTGGCACCAGCCCTAGGTGAGATTTGAGGGTGCAAGCGCGTGCAGGCTAGGGCGAGCGCGCAGCCTGCGAGGATGGTTAGATGCGCACCGCGCGCTACCGAGCCTATCTCATCAAATCTGGGACGCTGGGCTTGTTGAATATTTTCACACGCGCGTTCAAACAATAACCTTTTCCGCGGGTTCGTATCTCACTCGGACTTGTAGAGATTCGTGGATATCATGCAGCAGCACATGCGCTACCCCTGGCGGACGGGGACCGTTAGTGTACTGTGCACCCGGGCAACGGATCTCTTTCATACATGTTTGAATATGCACCTAACGATCGCTCAGGTGGATTTTTCGGCGCTGACGAGACTAAATAAATTTAAAAGCTTTAAGCACCCGGCTTATAATTAGCTATTGTGTGGCAAGCGACAGGGGGAACACCGGTGTCTTTATTACCTGTTTGGACCGGGCAAAAGAGCGAGCACTTTACCCCGGACGCAGGGAATCGAACCCATGGGACAGTTCAAACACATGGGTGCAGCCCACTTCGAGTCCTTGTGATAGACATTCACCTAGTTATAGCAGCGCAAGGGCGGCAGAGAGATTGTGGACATGATCGTGACTCGGAAGCCTGGAATCGAACCCAGGCAGCCCGCTTCAAGGACTTAACCGATTCCTTGACAGCGAGAGCGGGTGTGCACCTTACACCACATCCGATTTCCTGTCCTACATCTGCCCCTCGCCAGGGAGCCATATCAGAAGACCAGCGGATGCATGAAGACCAAGCCCTGAGCATGTTCATCCGGATCAGTTCAACCTTGCCCTTCCACTTGGGAACTGCGTCTTCTCTAAAAAGAGTGGTGTCCCACCTCCGAGTTTTGTCCCCATTCCGCCTCGAGGTAGATGAGAGAGCTAGTAAGCATTAGATGCAGAAAGAAAAAAAGATTGAGGCCGTAGCATGAATTCAGACGCCGGGGATTGAACCGAGACCTCCCACCTCCCACTAGTTTCGCACAGAAAATTGAGAGTGGGTGTGCACCATGCAACCCACGTCCGAATATTTTCGCTAGATCCATCCTTGACTACGGGTATTAACATAAGACGCGAAGCAAGACGCTGGGAATCCCATCCATCAAGGTTATGTCCAACATCAGCGGCCCCAGATCCGAGTTGTTCTCATACTCTGTGCCTGGCGATGTTTGAAGATCCTCAGTGTAAATCAAGGCCCCATACAAACAAAAAACCCCCGACTCATTGGGGGATTCGGACGCTGGGAGTCGAACCCAGGCCTCCCGCGTAGAAGTACTACAAAATCTCCTGACGGCGAGCGGGTGCACCGTGCACCACGTCCAGTTTACTGGGATTCCTACGCAGCCGGCCCGATGAGAGAGTTGGGAAGATTAGGAACGGGCAATGCCAATGTATTCGCACTTCTGGCATCGACTAGCCTGAAAACAAATCGGGGGCCAGGTGTACCGTAGAATACGTCCGAACCGCCTTCATCTCGTTCTGAATTGATATTTGCAAGGAATTACAGAGAAGTGAAATTCTAAAAAGGGGATCGTGGCAGCAAATTCGGACGCTGGGAATCGAACCCAGGCTCCCCTTTTCGACCAATGCTCCAAATACCAGGGAGAGGTATGCACCATGCACCACGTCCGAGTAATTGGCTCCTGGGTAAATGGAGGAGGAACCGCTCAGCGAAATAAAGATCAAGCGACTCACCTCTCCCGTGCGCGCAAGAGCAGGTCCGGGAGGGAGGGCGTCCGTGCTGGATGCCTGAATTAAATCCCACGGATCCGAATACCGAAAGCCAAACTTCAATGGCCACAAGAATATCGGCGCCGCCACATTCCGGACACGGGCAGCAGCAGCATCACAGCTGACGTCTCACAGAGAGAATCTCGAGACATAAAACAAAAACAATGAGGTTAATTCCTATTCAACGTGGCAGTAAACAGATAAATGAGAATGCAAGGGGACTGCAGGCCGCAGAGCGGAAAGCCGGTTCGGTGCGGGTGAATGAAGGAAAATGGACGACACGGGCGCGTCCACGTCGGTGAGGAGGAGGGGGGACTAGTCTTAATACATATCATACACACCCCTTGTATTAATTTCGATCATAACTCCACCAGATCCGGTCCAAATCGTTAGGTCTCTTCGGATTCGGGCTCTTAGGCCTCTCCCGGGTCTAGAGCACCCCCAAGGGTTGCTGACTGAATTATTATATATCTTGATATGCACATTTTCATTTAAAGGTTTTTCAGGCAGCTGGCCTACAGTAGGTTCCAGTATAACATGTGCAGATCTCATCCAATTCGTTAGGTCTCTTCATATTACGATATATAGTTCAGTCAGCAAACATTGGGGGTGCTCTAGACCCGGGAGAGGCCTAGGAGCCCGAATCCGAAGAGACCCAACGATTTGGACCGGATCTGGTGGAGTTATGATCGAAGTTAATATAGGGGGGGGTGTATGATATGTATTAAGACTAGGAGTAATATTGCGGGGAGGCTGTATGAATGTGGGTCAGTAGGTATTGGATATTGACAACCGGAGTAAAGGCTACCTCTGCTACTGGGCATAATCCTTCCATGCATTCAGGGTCTGCATGGATGGCCGGACCAGCGAAGGGAAGACCATCAACGACACGAAGGGAAAAGCAGGGGTGGGAAAGGGTAAGGCCGTCGTCAGGCAAATCCTGTGCGACAAAGTGCGGAGAGTCGATAGGTCCAGAAATGGGACCAAACCTTGGAGCTGAAGTCTGTCGTTAGTCCAAACTGGAAGGATTTGCAAGGTGAAAAAAGCGTGCGTACAAATTAAAAACATGATACGTTGGATCCAGCGGCCGGATCTGGATTCGGGAATTTCTTGGCGAGCTTAGTAAATCGTCAATACCAAAGCTGTTGGCGTTGATGGTGGGTGAGGCTTGAACGTGACCACATCTGAGCGACGTGTCGGACAGAGTAGAGCCCACGGCTGCTTGGCAAACTGAGCGGCTTCACAGAGCTGAGAGAGTCTGGAGCGAGAGGCATGGAAAGACCGTGTGCTGCCAGGGCGCTACAACCTGAGTAGTGAACTCTGTGGGCGATGTGACACCAGTACGAGGTACGGAGGCTGAAAAAAGGAGGTTGTGGCGGAAAGATGGTTGAGAATATCAGGCATGTCGTCATTACAGGCCCGGAGGAGTATTGTACCGTGGCCAGCCGGCTCATGAGCGCCAGGAATCTGGTGGGGAAGGGTAGGTCAAACTGGAGAATAGAAAAGCAACAAATGCAACGCACCGTGTATGGAAAAACAGCACAAGGACAGTCGCATTCGCACTGAAAGGGGAACCTCCGCGGGAAATCCACGATGCAGACCACGATGAGTAGTAGTCACACGGAGGACACTTGATTGTGGGGGAGAGTGCGAAGGGCGCTGGCCATGCGACGAGTCCCAACGCTTCCTGAAGCCACGGTGGGACACCCTGGAAAGCGGTAATGGGAGCAGCAAGTGCAACTGCCAACGTGCTGACGGGAGAAGGCTCTGCACCCGCAATTGGAATATTGGGCAGAGGGGGGACAGTCACAGCACTGGTATGAGCGGTACACAGGGTGAGAATGAGAAAGGGTAGGATTGCTAGATGGCCCACCTTGGGCTAGCAGAGGAATCTGAGACCTCGACGATAGGTGAATGACTCATCCACGCTGCCAGACAGATACACTGTGTCAAGAAATCCCAACATGCCTGAGCCTACACAATCTGAGTCAGGGTGCATTAGCAAGGAAGCAAAAGGCAAGGACAGACCGAAAGAAAACCACCGCAGTTGGTGGTGGCGCAGCCGCCTCGGCGAAAGGCATGGTTGGGATGACTAGGGTCTGGGCATGGAATCCCAGTATGGGACATGTAACGATGGCTGCACACTACGCAGCCTCACCAGGGTCCCTTGCAGGCGTCTTTTTTTTAAAAAAAAAGAACTAAATCACAGAATGGGCTGGGAAAACAAGCGACATACCAGACAAGGGACTGTGCGTTGGGTTATGGGGTCCATGTCAGATCCCACAAAGGCTGCACAACAGGCATTGGGCGGACACTGAACACAGGCAAAACGAGGAGTGAGCAGACACATTTTTTCAGAGGAGTGAAGGAGATAAGTTGAGAGAGGAGGGAAGACCAAGAATCAAGAACCGACAGCGGTATGTGTGAAAAACAGAAGACGTGTTCCGGAGCTGCTTGAAACAAATTCAGAGGGCTAATCTTGGCAACACGGGCAATCACGCATCAGCACGCATATTATTTCAGCTGGCCGCGTTGGTTACAAGGTATAACTATCAGATGGCGGGGCCGCATTTGTGATGGGAGGCAAGCCAAGAGCTCCAAGATACCGCCCTTGTGATAAGCTCTGATAGGCCGCGGCGTTGGCCATATGGATACAGCATGAGAATCACAGGGTCCCCTCGGGAGAGAATGTGCATGCAAGATGTCGAAAGATCTTGCAAGAAGGTGTGCATTTACCAAGACGATGAATGCCTGAGAAATAGCAAGATATTGGAAGATATCATGGAAGAGAACCTGAAGTAACACTTGACAGAATCTTTCAAGATAGCGGAAGATCTTTGACGACCAAAGATCTTGCAAGATCTCGTGCAAGCGACGGATCCAAAGTCACGGATCACTGAAGATCATCGAAGATCTCACACATCTTGCAGAATCTTGCAAGATCTCGTGCAAAAAGAGGTGTCCAGAGCATAGAAAACCCTTTTGTCCAGTAAGGACCTTCATAGAGTGCAGGAGAGAAGCGGAGCGTGGCTGTGTTTGATCTATGTGCTTGATCCGCACTCCGATCAGACTGCTCTTGCTCGCTCCCTCCACCACGGCGCGCACATTCTATCTCTGTCTCTGTCGGGCGACACGCGCCAATTCCTGGTCACTATTCCTTCCTTCAACTTGAATCTTTCTGGCACCTCTTTCTCATGCTCTGGCGCTGCCGACGCGGTGTGACCCACTCAAGGACTATCGCAGTACCACCGCGCCGATTACGCGCAAACGCGTTCGACGCGTCGATAGTCAGGCGATACCCTACTGGACTGTTTTAAATCTCATTCGCACACTGGCTGGGACACCAATGGTGTGATATAGTACTGTAGATCCTGCCAACGGGCGACTTGAACGGTGTCTATGGAAATGATTACTTTGCTGTGGTGTTTGCACTGGTTCTCGACTCTCATTTAAATAACCGTCGATTCTTATCGATTTTTCTCTGTCTCTCCGCGGTACTCATTGTTGTTCTCCAGTGTGCCGCACCCGCCCGCACCAATCCTCATAAGAACGTGAGACTTTCCTGCTGCGACTACTTCTCTCCATGTCGTGGCTGCATTCCAATCCGCGTTCTCTACGTCCTCTAACTTATGGCCCTTTCCCGGCTTTCCCGATCCCATTCCGTACCGCTGGCAGAGTCGCTCCAAAAATACGGAGTCCGCGGGTCTATTCTCAATCTCTCGTATCATGTTTGCTTCGACCGGCACACCTGCATGGGTTATGATTCATCCGCTCCTCACTGGAATTTTCGCTGGCTTATTTTCCAATCCCACCATTTGCCTTATTGTAGCCGTTTACGATGTTCAATTCTATCGGCTTTGCTAAATCATCGTCTACGCGGCGTAATTGTACTCCACGTTCCCCATCAACGATGCTCTCAGATTTTGAGCCACCCTTGATGGCGCTTTGTCTCGCGCGCAACTACCAGCTGTCTCATTGCCCAACTCTTTTTCACTTGGTGTCTATCTTCGCTTACTGTCTGTTCGCAACCTCACCCAACTGGGTTCACGCCACATCCCGACTCTTCCAGTCTCTACAGGAATTCGATCGCATCTAACTCGAAGACACTCCCTCTGCGACTGCGTCTCTCCATACATTCGCTGCATTGTGATCAACATTCTCTCCCTCTTCTTGCTCACCAAATTCAATTACACTTCGCCGCCAGAGCCGGCCCAATAAAATCTGTGGACGTGGAAGTGCGCTGCACAGTGATGCGGCGCGCTGATTTTGTATCCTGCTTGCTGAACTCATGGTCGATCGACGATTTCTTCAACAACGGTGGCGACGCGACCAGGGGTGTGTAGGTCAACGAGTCCGGATTTTCCCCATCGTAAGTGCTTTGCGGGACTCTATTTCTAGGTACTGTGAAATCTCTCGGGATATTGTTTGATTCCTGCAGTTATTCCGCGGCACTGAACCGTCTTGTTCTCCCTAGATGGCATTCCACTCCGGCCTCCGGTAATAAATCATTCGAGTACATCTGTATTTCCCTCTGCAACACTTTGGTCTGCAAATCCGATGGTTGTCTCGCAATCCAATCCTCCGATCGCCCGTTCTGCGTGGACGAAAACTAGGGGCTTAGCCGGGCGAAGATGGGACGAGAGCAAGATTGGGCGTGCGTCTGTGTGCGATCGCTTGATCCGTCTCTTGCCTCTTGCCGTCACGGGTGCAGCGATTCTGTGTGGCGCTGCTTCGAATTCACTCCACTTATATAAATCTACCATTAACGCGCTTCCGCAACTCTTTGTGCATAGTTCCCACTTGCAAGCCTCTTGATCTTGTTTGACAAGAAATTCTGAAGTATGTCGCACTTTCCACGACACTCAAATCGTTTCAACTCAGACAGCAGTGTCTTCTACGAT